CAGTTTTTGAACTTATTGCTTAGTTTTGGAACTTGTTCCTGAGCTTTTGAATTATTGCTCAGTTTTGGAACTGATTGCTAAGTTTGGAACTTAATGCTCAGTTTTGGAACTTATTGCTCAGTTTTTGAACTTGTTGCTCTGTATAACCTTAATTCAATTTTTAAACATTTCTCTTGAACAGCTAAGCCACCCATCTTCAAAATCCCCAAAAGTAAAGTCTTCCCTAAATGAAACAAAATTAATGACAATAACTTTAAATCAATTTTAATAAATTGACACCATATTGACAATAGAAAATGGATATATTGTGATAAATTTTCCTCTAACGCTTTCCATTCGCTCTCCCGCAGTGTAATATGGCAATAAATGATAAGCCAATTTGTATCTTTATCATCATCACCGTCATCATGATAATGCCTGAATAACTTTACAGTACACTATACATAAAGGGAGAAAAAGGGTCTCCCCTCTGCACCATATCAATCTAATTTTTCATATTGATAGCAGTTAATATTAAGGCACAATAGATCAATCACATTCGACGGCAGGAATTTTTCTCGCCCTCCTGCTGAACAATTTCATATCCAAAAGTTTTATATCCAGTAGATTTTGCATGAAATTAGATTACATGCGAGACAAATTATTTTATTATTTTGTAATCTTCCCAAAATCGATGAAAAGTTTTTAATAAAAATTAAATTTTTCTGCTCTTTCCTTTCATCCTCGAATCGAGATCCCCGAGAACAAATGCGATCATGAAGCATGAAGATATTGAGGAGTGAGGATTTTTGCATAAAATGCGCGTTCATCAGCATGATTTAATTAAATGAAACAAAATGGAAATGGATAGATTTATTATTCATTGAGGATAATATAATTTCATGTTTATTTATTTACACAGTAGATGTGGAATTATTTTTATTCGATATACATTTATATTGAGTTTGATACTAGGAGATTGTGCCCGTTATGATACAACTTGGGGGAGGTTCTTATGGAGGTCAGTTGACACTTCGACTAGGTTGGTAGGTTTAAACTAATTTTTAAGGATTTGACCCTCAAATCCCTTCTTGTTTCGTAGGGTTAAGAGTTGACATAGGTTTAAGTGTAGCCAGAGCCAGATCCCTAGACTAGGATTAGATTTATATATTGCCGAACTTTAAATTAAAATCCCCAAACGAAAATATTCTAAATGACAAACAATATTACACACAACATGACTCTTATAATCATCTCATCGCGGGGTATCAAGAAGTCAAACATATTCCGGTAGCCAAACAAGCAGTAGCAGCAAAATAAAAAAAAAATATAATACACAGAAATGAGAAGAAATGGAGACATGAAAACCAAGTAAATGAGAATGTTTTTTTTCTGTTCTTTTATTTCGACTCGGTTTTTGCGATTGTCGATTGTCAAATCGCACGGGGGATCATCGTCGTCGAGTGGAGAGAGAGAGAGAAGCTATGGGGTCAAGAGCAACAAAAGCGCCACTGCCAGTAATGTTTTTAAATTGGCAAAATTATCTGGCTGTGATTTCTGTATTTATTCAGTTTTATTTTCTTCTTCAATTTTTTTATTTTCGTTCTGCTTATGCCACAAAAAGAAGAAAAAAAATTGTAAGGAGAAGAAAAAAAAGCCATTCGACATTGTCAGTAACTCACGATAAAGTGCCTTTAAGCTACTGTAAACAATTAAACAGTCAATGTGCAAGAGAGCTGTTTCTTGAGATACGAATCCCATCGTCCATTTATAACTAATATCTCTATGCGATTTTCATTTGCCTGCCTTTAAGCAGAACATTTCCATTTTCTTCTTTTGTAATTTTCTTAAATTGTTATTTCAGGTGCTGTGATTTTTTTTATTGGAATTGGACAAGTTTAGTAGGTTGATATGTCTTGATGTCCAGTTTGGTGGGATTTGTTTCAGATTCTGTGAGGTTTGAGTGATGGGAGTGGGTGCAATAAGATATAAATTGGTCTATGCTTCTAGTCAGACCAATCCTCGTATAGGCTGAGTCATTAAGATGCTAATTTATTCCAATTCTTGATTTTCTTTAAAAATATGAAAAAATTCAAGTTCAAATCCTACAAAAATATCCCGATAAAATTTCCAACTTTCTTCTCCGACCACCATCATCATCATCATTGCCATCAACCTTATTTCAATTCAGCCTCTCGTGTAAGTCCCCTTTGAAGGAACAATCTTTTCCTCTTACTTATTTTCTTTATAAATGCGAATCGCTCAAGAATTGATTTGCATAAAATTCGAATTAAATGCGACACAGTAGAGAATCAATATAGATCCCCAGCGATAGTCTCAACAACGTAATAAAAATGAATAAAAAGATAATAAAATTATACGAAAATGCATCATTTTGATTGGCCATAAGATATCGGGGAAGCATATTCGCCATAAAACAAAAATAAGCGGAGCAGAATGTTCTCATTTTCATTATAATATAACAATATATTCAGTCACAATTCCTTATTTTATTATATTTGCATTTATATGTACACAGACTTTTGTCTTTTTTCTTATATTTTTGCGATTATCAAGAATATTAACAACCCCGCGACATCATCACGACTTTTTTTTGTGTGCCTTTTTTTTTGCATTCTGCCAATATATGTATGAATATCAGTGGAAGTAAGTCAGAGAGAGACAAGAAAACAAAACGTAAGATTTTTTCACATTTAACCAATTCCATATATCTCAAAATGAACATTTAACAACTTCTGTTGGACTCGATGGTTGTTTGCCTTATGGTTAATATTCATTTTAATTCACATTCTCATGCATTCAAAAGATGAAGCTAAATATTGATGTGAGGATATGAATGATGAAGATGTGAAGTGATAAAGCGCATTTTAGAGGTGCTGTTTATAAGCTTAATCATCATTGAGTCGATTTGAACTCTATTGCAGCTCAAGATCGTTTGGCAAACATGATTCAGTCTGTATAATGACAAGATGATACTAGTCTAGGAGAATGAGCTATGATTCTATAGAAGGAATTGTAATGTCCTTCAAAAATGGATCCAAACAAGCCAAGGGACATGATTATTAACCAACCAACACACCACAAAACTCTTAAATATCCACTCACCAGCCATCCGTGAAGCCTTCAAACATTCTTGCCATAAAAACACGATCAGAAATTGAAACATAAAGTGAGTCCTTTAATAATGGATGTTGCACATACTTTCCAAGCCAAAGAATATGAATTGCCCACAATGTTGTATTTTATTGCCAACAAAGCATTATCAAATTCTTTTCTTAAAAGAAGCTACAACGAAATTTAATTAATTTTAATATTTTTTTCTCTTTTCATTTTATATTCTTCGTACTTACCCATGCCGATGCCAAATGCTGAAGGGAAAATATTTTGTGTCATTACCAATCGGTATCCAATAAATGCCTTACATTATTCACGATTTGCTGTTGTTTCTGACTCTCACCGTCCTTACTTCTGTGCATATATTTAAAGAACTCGTACGAAAGGAGAAATAAAGGAAGACGACAAATAAATAACAAACAAATTAAAAACTTACAACCGCAATTGCAATTTTTTTTTGTGTGCTTGCTTCTCTTCTTCTGCTGCTGCTTTCTGAGAATAATATTTTTATAAAAATAAAATAAGTAAGTAACAAATGTTTGAGAACTTGAGGCAAGAAAGATAAAAGAACGGAGAAATATGAAAAATTGAAACAAAAGAAAGTTCGATGCGCGTGTATGCATTGAAAGTGCAATTGGTGCATCATACCGATAAGGTCTGATAATTCCTTTAAATTGCATGTTGTTATTATCGATCAACTTTCATTTCTAACATTTATTATCGATTTGAGCTGGATATGAATGAGTTAATGCGAAAGATTATAATGAGCTAGTGGATTGTTGAGATTTATTTTGATTTATTAAGGTTTGAAGTGGTTTAAGGTTGTGGATTTTGTGAGGGACTAATGGTTTAACACGATTGGAATTCATTAAAATGTTATCCATACTATGATCAAGCTAAAAGAGTATTTAGAACCTAATCTAAAATTATTGTCACTTTGCTCTAAGTATTCAATCTTATTGACGATCAGATTAACTTCAGAAGACTAGGAATAGCTAGGAATGAAGTTTAAAACTAATTTGCCGACTAGTTTTAATTGATATATTCAAATGTTAAGTCAAAATAACTCAATTGCTTCATTTAACAACTTCAAATTCAGATTTAAACCTAGATTCTGAGATTTAGTTCAACCTTAGTTGAGACTTCCCAACAACAACTCCAGATCTCATCTCAGCTATCAAAATATGATCCAACTAAGTTCCCACTTTAAAAAATTAAACTTCAATGATAATTCCCTCGCAAATCAATTACATTCTACTTCTTCTGATTAAATCCCAACCACAATAAATCTAAAAACTTCATCCATTAATTTTAAAATTCAAAAGTAAATCTCACTTTTACCTTTTTATAAAAAAAAAAACACAAATTCATCGACCTTAAAAATTAAACAAATCAATAAGTGAATAATTACCGTCCATAAAATCCACTTTCATGTCTACAATCCCCTGCTTTCCACCTTTCAACACACAACTTACATACAATAAGCTGTTTCACTTCAATAAATTCATAATTTTATATCCATTCTCTATTTCTCTTTTTGTGCCTCCTTTGATCTAGAAAACATTGATTAATTGCTCACATAATTAATCATATTGTAATTAACACATTAGTGGATGGGAAAACGATAGCGACTTAATTTAGTAGCATCACGTGAAAGTGGAAAGAATTTAGATTATGAATTTATTGAAGCATGCAATCTAGTGATGTTGCTAGGGGGCTGGGGTCATGCACAACTTAGTATGGTAGCCATACTAGGGTTTTGGGAGTAGCTATGCCTCACTTGTTGCTATGATCAATTAGTATATGTTGAGGTATTATCCCTGACTACATCCCATACCTAGTAGTAAACCTTTCAGACTAGAAACAAGAAACATGCACAATTATTTTTCATTTTTAAGCCTCAAATATTAATAAATAATTTTCTTGTTTTTATTATTTCAATAAATTAAATCCATTTTACAGTATTTTTTAAAAAGCGGAGTCTTTTGCCAAATTTTTCTTTTCTTTTGCCTATCTTCCTTTAATTTCTCACTCGAAATGGTCAGTAGATCCAAAATGAATGCGTATAAGAAAAATTTATATGCCAAACATTAGGAATAATCTGCAGTTTACGGTCGAGTAGAAGAATTATGTTTTTGTCTTAATTAAGATTTTCATCAAGATGAAAAATGAGGTTGAGGAAGTTGTTCATGCTTGCTTATTAACTTAGTTTTGGTTTTGGTTGAGTTGTTGATCGTAGTAATATCTGTATGGATCAGCATAGTACTGTCCCTTCTTCAAGTAGGCATTACGTCTATAGAGAAAAAAAAAAACTCATTAGATATATCAATACCAAGAATACTGCTGTGTATCCTACCTGTTGTGGTCTCCAGCATGGACTTGGAAGCTTGTTTCTTCATGATGATCACTTGAGAAGATTTTCTTAAGAGCGATGATACCGGCGATTGTCAATGCAACTTTACTGATGACTAAAGCTTTTCCAGCAATTGCAGCCAAGGCTTTCAAACCCAATGGACCAGCAATTCCCATAGCAGTCATCATAGCAGCAATAATGTAACGATAGTGCTTCTTTCCCTTGCCTCTGGCTTCTGATAAGTCAACCTTGACTGTGTGTGTGCGTAAGAACTTGTCGACGGTTTGAACTAAAGCTTTATCGAGTCCACTTAATCCACTTAAAGCACGGGCATCAGCAATGACTGGAGTATCATCATCAACTGGATGTTCGGCTTTAACGAGGTTGATTCCATCGAGGAGCTGAATGGAATCCTATGAGAAATAAGAAAGATTACTTAATGAATTATTTGGGAATTTAATGTTAATCCTCACTTGTTCAACAGCACGTGAGATGGCAGTAAGAGCTTTTCCTTTCAGACATCCTGTAAAGTCTTCCTTGTTTTCACAATCGTCATAAACTTTTTGGATGATGCTTAAATCTTTGCCCACTTGATTATCCTCTGCTTTCTTAGGTACTGAAGCTCCAAACACAGCAGATGAGACAGCGAGGATTACGAGAAGTTCTACAGCTACTTTTGAATACATCTTTGGTATTTTATTTATTTTTTAATAATTTAATAATCTTTTTTTAAACTTAAACAAAATGTTCTTTTCAGAATTCACACTAAAGTTACTGCTGTATGATGTTAACTCTGCAATAATTGAATAGAAACTGATAATTTTTTGATTAATAACTGTTGCTTATAAATGAATCTGAATGCTCTGCTTACTCCTCCACGCTCGTTATTTAGCTATATACAATTTTCTTTCGATTTCTTCTCTACTCGATGCATTTTTTCATGTTTTCATGTGCATTTTTCTTTCGTTTGCTTTCATCAAAATTTTCTCTTTTTATCGCTCGTTTGAGATTTTTCATACCTATGCAATTTTTGGGAGATGCCGTGAAAATATTTCATATCAATTTTATTGATATCATTCGATATTGTAGAGAATTAGGAAGTTTTAAAGGTTAATACTCGATAATTGCTGGTTGTCTTGGTTGATTTGACTTTATGTTGTTATGGATGGATTAGCCCTGATTAGTCATCCCGTTAAGAAGTCTTCTTTGTTTGAAAACTTGTAGTAGCTGTCAATCATTTTTTTTAAGATTGCAATATGCTTGATTTGCTTGAGAAATCGTGATCTACTTCAACTGCTTAACTCATTTGTTCAAGAATTTAAAAGGAATTTTAGAAGTTTGTCTTCAATTGTTGTTCTTAGTTCTTTTTGCTGCTCGTTGATTATGACTAGGATATCTTTAGTGATTTATACGAACTCTTTGAACTGAATTGTTCAGAAATTGATGAAAAATGACTTTTGACCATTTCTGATTAGGTTTTCTTTGTATTAAGTCAAGATATTTCAATTTTGCTAAAATGTAAGCCTGTCTCAGCTCTTGCTCAGTTAAAAACAATTTCTAGAATCCAACTAGTTATCTCAATCTTAATCCAGTTTTCCCTAAAATCGAGGATTAAAATTTGACAACATTCCAAACACTCTCTCGCTCAATTAATTACATTATATTATTTAAATTACATCCATAATTAGCCATTACCATAACTCTTCATTCATATTCATGCTCAATTTTCATTATTAATCTACTAAAAATCATCTTACGCATGAAAATCTCAAAAACGACACCCAAACACGAAAGAGAGGTGCAGTAATGCATTGAAACTGCAGAAAATCATGAAATCTTGCTCAGAAAACTGTTAATAAACGAAAGTGAAGCTTCTTAGTGAAATTTACTTTTCAAAACTCATTAGCTATTAGAATTTCTTGGATGACTGATTATGAGGCGTAATTTTTGTTGTTATATTTGAATCTAATTGATATGTACTGGATCTTATGTAAATTCCGTAAATTCTTTAGATTTGTAAATGTTGTAAGGTATAGAATAAGTTGTACAAATTGAACATGATGTTCTACAACTGATTTTATTCTTGACAGTTCAGTAAGTTACTCAATTCAAGTCGTTGACTGAACTCAAACCAGCTCTTGTGATTCAAGAGTGTTTTCAATATTCTCAAGTTGAACAAATCAAAGTTAACATCTCAAAAGTTTATATTGAAGAATTTGTCAAGAAAAGTCTAGCATCTACATAGATCAGGACTAGCTACAAAGAAGAGCTTGCTACATTTAATCTTTAAAAGGTACGGTACAGTTGATTCAATACAAAATAAAACATTTAAATTTACAAACTTTAGTTCCTAGAGAATCCTTAACTTTTATTATTTATGAGCTACACACAAATATGTTTTATACATCGTAAAACCTACAAAAACTTTATAGTTATCCTCAAATATCATTCTCTGTATATCTCAATAATTTTAAATTAATTCCATTAAATCCTTAACTTTAGTTCCTTTTTACAAAATTAAAATTTCATGAATAGCTAAGATATTATATATCGAATTGTACAAGGTATGTCCATAAATTAGCATGTTCTTTAATGATTTCATGTTAGATATTCCTCATGATCGAGATATTCCACAACCTCGTCAGTGGCTTTACTTCAAGAAACTTCCGAATAACTCGTCTCGATTTTAACTTCATTTTGGAAATCTGACTCGACATCCATCTCCTCTTCATGTGCTGCATTCAAACGATTAAGTGTCATATGCGATGTTGTTTGTTGTGGCTGTTGAACAAGATTCTCAGGAAGTTGATGTTCAATCTTAATTGTTGCAGGCTGTTGATGATGAAAAATGACTTGTTCTTGTATGACGACAGGTGTTTGAGTGATTGTAGGCTTCACGACAGGCTCAACTTTAGGAACAAGCCCAGCTTGCTGATAAGATTTGTTCTTCAGCGTTTGTCTTATTTGGGATGTTTGTTTTGCTTTAATGTGACTACTTAATTGATTTAAGTCCTCATTGAATTTCGTTACTGAATTTTTCAGCATGTCAACTTCCTCTTGACTCCATTTAGAGCTCCTAGAATAATTAATTGCCGGCTTAAACAAGAATTTTTTAAATTATTTCACTAATTTACCCTTCTTTATCCGTCTGAACTTGTAATATTAGATCTCCTAGTGTATTGAAGGCTTTTCCAGCCGATGTAAATATTTCACTGACCTGAAACATAGTTGAATAGCTGTTAAGAATAAGGAGAAATGGGTGAATTTAATTAATTTACTTTTACGTTCATGATTTTGAGCTTTTAGTACATTCAGTGCCTCACAAATGATTGATTTTGATGATAAACAAAGACCTTGAATGATACAGTTGATGATTTTGTTAAATATAGTAGCTGGAAGCTTATTTATTAAATTAATTCCAAATATTTTTTTGTTGTTTTGATTGTACGGTTTTGAAACTAGCAAAAGTACGGTTCTGAATGTTTATGTGTGTTGGTGTTTGAATTTTTCGTAACGGTTTTATGCCGCTGGATCTTGAAAAGTTAAATAATTAATGACTTTTACATGATATTTGTCATTATGAATTGCTAATTTGATGAATGTGGACATGACAAAGCTGAATAATGCAGATCCAAATGAATATTTTGTTGAATTCAACATGAAATTTGATTTTCGAACGAAAAAAGATCCAGTAAAGCTTGAAAATTAAGACAAGGCTGTAATTAATGAGATCCAGTGATTTTAAGGAAAATGATTTATTGAAATAATAAGAAACATTTAAAAGAATAAGTTATTTCTCATATAATATAATCAGATGTGTTTAAAAACCTCCTCGAAGCGCCAGAACCAAATGAAGAACTGATCCACCTTGAACTTTATAGTCTTGAGCTGTCTTATCGTCGTTCCTTAAAAATCAATAAATCAGCAATTAGACATGAAATCGATTAATTATAGCTTTAAATACACACATTTGTTTTCCGGAGAAAATTAGACGTTGTTGTTGAGGTGGAATCCCTTCTTTCTCTTCAACACGCTCCTTAATTCGATCCACTTTGTCTGTTGGCTCAATATCAATCTCAATCTCCTTGCCAGTGAGTGTCTGAAATTAATTTTCAATATTAAAGTTAAGAAGAAGAAATTTTGAATAAAAAATTTGCAAAAATTTATGAAATTAAATGATTTTACCTTAACTTTAATCAACATTTTTGCTATGTATCAGTTCCTTTAATCGCTATTAACTAGATGTGGTGAGGATGGAAAGCTTTAAGAGCTTTATAATCGAGAAATATGCAAATTTATAGATTTTTTAAGTCACAAAATTTGCAGAAAGAGTTCGAATTTCGAAAATAAACAATTCGGATTATTGAAGCCTTTTATGGTGATATCGTGACAAAGACGCATTTCTCAGAACAGAGGATGACTCATAGCATTAGTCATCGTTAATTTCTAGTCTAATAATGCGTTCATTAAAGATTTTAAAATCGTAACGGATTTATAAAATTCAAATTTTCAACGGATTTTGATAATTCAAATTGATTTGAGTGCATCCTATATCAATCATGAAGTTATTTTCATTTTGTTCTTCTTTTTTGGCTACTTGTGGATACTTATTCTGTATTAAAACTACCTTTAGAAACACAAAATAACAGAATGAATGAGATAAAATAAGCCATAAGCAATAAAACTCTAAGAATAACAAGACAGCCCAAAGTGCTCATCAATGTGCATTTTTCTCACGGATCAAGTTAAAAAAAGTAAACAAAAAATAAATCCAGCTACAATCAAATTTAATTAAATTCGCCACAATCTACACAAGTTAATAAATAAGCAACAATGACAAATCCACTAGAAAAGATCCAAGCACTAGATGCAATTGAAAAAGAGATTGTCCTGTGCATACAAAGTGCTGGAAATGCACTTCAAGAACTATCAAAAGAAAAGCCGAGTCAAAAGAATGCTGAGAATCATGCATCACAGTTCCTTAAATCCCTAAACAGCATCGAGAATAAATTAAGTGATCAAATTAATTATCTACAGCAAGTGTCAACAACTCATGCTCATGAAGGAAGTGGATATGCGAGTGCTAAGAATCTTCAAATGGCATGGCAGAGACTTAATAATGTTAAGGCTCGAGTAAAAGAACTGGAAGATTGTCAAAATAAGTATGCAAAGAAGCAAGGACAAGTTAGCATTGTAGCGCCTCCTGCGCCAGTTCCAACAGCGAATTTACCACAATAATAATTTTAATTCTGTAACTTTAAGTTTATTATAAATTTAATTATTTTCGGATATAACATCTGTGCCTGACTTTTCAGTACTTTGGACTATTCCAAAGAAATTGTTATTAACAACAAAATTTACACATTGCAGCAAGATATTCCGTTCATGGACGATGTCACGTTCGAGGAGCTTTTCAAGGAACGGATTAATTGATCGATTCCTGAGTTTTGAGTAGTCAATTCCACTGCGTCTGATGATTTTCTTAGGTTCCTTCTTCTCATCATTCCGTTTCCTCTTTCTGGTTCTTTGGTGAAGATTTGTGGATGTTGATGGCTCATCAGCTTCGATTTCTTTGACTGTTGGAAGCTCCTCTGGTCCTGAATCGTTGTCATTGACTTCTTGTGGCTCTTCCTCATTATCTGGACATTCTGCTTCATTTTCATCTATTTCAACACTGTCTGTAGCTTGTGGACTGTCGATTTGTGGCTGTAAACTCAAATTTTCCACATTAACAGCTTCCAAATTTTGATTTTCGAGGTTTACAGCTTCCTTCACAGAACTTCCCACTTCCATATCACTGCCGTTGCTATTTTCATCCTCAGAATCAGATCCATACATTCCTAGAAGTGACAATGCTGGCTTTTCCTTTACACTTGACTCAACTGTATGATAATCTTTCATTTTGCATGTTCCTTGAAATTTTGGCGTTAATTGAGTTTCTTCTTCGTCCGATGAGCCTTCATTAGATACTTTTTGCTTCTTGACAGCTTGTGGAAGTGCTGGATGCTTGAAATTTTCAGTCCTTTTAGGCTTTATGTCTTCAACTGGTTTAATTTCAGTTGTTACTGGATCTTTTACTTCAGATTTTTCATTTTCTGAACGTTTTTGGAACTTTTGGCACCTGTCATTGTTTCTATTGGGTCTGTTATTATGGTTCTTCTTATTATCATGCTGTCGCTTCCCCAAATTCTGAACAAAATCTTTCTGTTGACCATCACCAAATCTTTTCTTCGATTCATTCAGCCTTTCACCTCTTTTCTGTCTTTCCTCTTGTATTTGCTGTCTCATAATGACATTCTGTGTTGTTGGATATCTTTTACGTCTTTCTTCTCTCCATTTTTCAATCTGTTCAGGCGTTGACAAGTCTTGGATCTTAACTAAGCCACTCTGCTTTAAATGAACTTTCTGGATGTGAATTGCTATTGTTGCATCATTTGCATTGAACTTGCAATCATCGTATGGACATTTAGCATGAGATCGACGATGCTGAAACAGTTCTGTATCATTGCTAAATCCTTCCTGACAATATTTACAGAAACTAATGAAATTCCTCTGTGCTGGATGTTCCTTATTTGAGTTCTGATGGAACTGACTATGTTGTTGTCCTGAATGCTGTTGAAATTGTGAGTTTTGACTGTTTTTTGGCTGAAATTTGTTTTGTTGCTGCTTATTTTGTGTCGGAATTGAACTGACTGGATTTTGTGATGCAAATGGACTTGGCAGTGTCATGTTTCAATCTGAAGTGGTTTATAAGGTTGTTAAATAGTGATTGTGATTAGATTTGTAAATTATAGCTACCTGTAAGGCTACTTATTTAATGATTTTAATTTTTTGTTGATGAAAATGTGCGTTTGTTTATGTTTTTACAAGGTGTGAATACTCAGTCAAGAATTGGTAAAATTGTGGATTCTCCTTACTGGATGTATCAGATGCTGTAGCAAATGATCTAGATTGATTGTTAAGACGTCTTGCTTTATTGAAAATTATTCTACACTTCTGGAATATTGAGAATAGACAATTTATAAATTATCTAAAGTGTTCATCCCTTGGATTCGACAGTCGATTTTTGTTTTGAATATTCTGTGAATTTCTTTAATTAAACAAGCTAGATCACAATGACTACACTTGAAGAAGTATTTAAACTATTAGCCATTGTTCAATCTACAGGTAATTAATCAAGTAATCATTCAAAATTGCACAAAATTATGAAATTTCATTTAAAACATCCAGAAACACAAAAGGAAGCATTTGATAAGCTTAATGGTCAGTTACAGGAAGAAGAAATCATCAATTCTCTAAAAGATGTCAACTGTATCTACTCAAAAGAGCCATTTTCATGGAGATTTGCTTGCTATTTATTCTATTTGATTAATGAAATCATTGAAAATTTCGAAAAAGTTCCACTGGATTTTAGTCAAGTTGATTTATTAATAGAAGCTATCCACAAATGTGAAATCAATGCACTGGAACTTTGTGTAAAGAAACAGAAGAACAGAACGACGTATGATACAACAAATCTAAATGACAGCGAATATGAGAAATTAATCAGCTGCCTTCGGATGTTCCACAAATTCTTCTCAATTAAGCTTATAGCCACAAATCCATTATTCCATGACTCTCAGATTGACTACCTTGTTGGTGTTCTATCAGTAATTGCTATGAAGAAATCAGAAGAAGACGTAAATGAAGCTAATAAAATGCTGATCCAGTTACAAACGTTTATTGGAACCGAGCAGTTCCTTCAATTCATTATGATGGTTCGAGGATTTCAAGGATTATCAATAGACTTCCAAATCCAGTCACAAACTCGTTTATTGCAATTAATTCGTTCTGAAAATGGGTTTTATATGCTTTGCAAAATGTTTTTAAGGAAGAAGTCTGATGATTCACAGACGTGGCAGAAGTACAACGTTATAGCTGGGATTATGATGAAAGCTATGAGGTATAAGAATTTCTATGAAAAAATGGTCAATGAGATATTCAGGACATTAAAAAAGTGCATTACCAGCAATGAAAATGAGATTGTCGCTGCTTGTGTTTATGTTTTGAAGGAGTTGTACGGCAAGAAGATAACAGAACTGGATGAACATCTAAATAAGTGGATCTTTGGTCCATTAGCTGATTTAATAAGCCCTCAAATTCTCCTTTGTGGATCAATTGTTATGGAATATGACGATATTAAAGGGTATGTTCGTATGCTGGATGTTCTGTTCTCTACATCAACAATTGTGGCACTTCCATCAAAAATTCTGCATAGCCACATCGTCGTTTTATTCAATTTACATTCAACATTACCCGATGTGCCTGAAAAAGAGAAATTAGCATCAATTGTCCTGTTTATCCTTAATAACTACGACAGGAAGGAACTTCAGCTAGCTATAAGAAACTTAAGACTCAAAGACGATCCAAAAGTTCTTAAAATGCATCCAAGAATCGTCTACAAAAACAATGCCTTACAAATCGGCGAGGAAACAGCAACTTTAGTCGATGACACTCAATCCTTCATCCAGCTACTCAAAAACTCCAATAATAGCTTGCTGATCTACGAAATTTTCATTGCCTTTATTAATTTATTAAGTGACGTCCAAAATGCTGGAAATTCAATAATCACAGGATATGATTTAGATGAGGATGAACTTACGGATGTGCTTCATACTAAATTTTATAAGCAATTGGCTATAATTGAACCACTTCAGGATATGATTCAATGGAAGTTACTCCATTCGCAGCTAAATGAGAAGCCTAAAGAGATTCTTGAGGCTGTTAAGGATGTCTTGGTCCATGCAAACAGCGAGGATGAACAAATTGTGATAATTTTCTTCTCAATCTATAAGGAACTGCTTTATAAATTGAGGGATGATAAGGAACGGCAACGAATGAGGAACGACATTCTAAAGCTTAAAGAAAAGTTCAAGAAGCCACAACTTAAGGAACAAATTGACATAATATTCAGCAAAAATGAGGAAGTGCCAAGCATTGATCCATCAGAATTCACATTTAGTAACGCGATGATGCTGCTGAAGTCAAAGGAAGTTTACTGCAAAGTTTATGGATGTGATAATTTGATTAAAATGCTGAAGAAAAGAGACAAACAGGCTGTGGCAAATCGACATACAATTTTAGCTGTTGCCATGCAGAATATGAAGGAAGTTGAGAGTTATGCTTACTTGAATGTTATTAAACTGCTTGTTGCTCTTTCGTACGTTCTCGACACTGAAGTTGTTGATGCCTTAATTGCTGAATATCAAAATAAAGAACTAGAAGTTGATGAAAGGCTGAAATATGGCGAAGTTGTCCTTAAAGTCACTGAGGATCTTGGCGAAATGTCTGTGAAGTTTAAGCAGCAACTCATCAATTGCTTCCTTATTGGAAGTAGAGACTCGAATAATGAATTTAGGACATCAAGTTTGGCGAATTTAGGAACAATTTGTAAAGTTTTAAGCTATCAAGTCCACAGTTTTTTCAACGAAATGTATCAGCAATTGGAAGTGATTATTAAGTCTGATCCGTACCTTCCATCAAAACGAGCAGCTTCAATGGTTCTTTCACAAATTCTCGCCGGAATGCCAAATTTGATGGAGTTTCAAGATTATTTGCTGCCAATTTATCATTTATTGAAAGACATTCTAGCTAATGAGGAAGATCAGCAGACGAAATTGCATGCACAAATCGGACTTGAGCACTTGAATGAAAAAACAAAGGACTTTTTGAATCCTAAATTGAATGCTCAAAAGCAAATTAAAATTAGAATCGGCGATGACAATCCAAATAAGTTGAATGAAATTAAATATAAGTAAGTGGAGATGTATTTTTGGGGTTTATAAGAAATTTATTTGAAATAAAGCTAAATTTAGGTTTCAAATGAATTTCAGACATTAATAATTCAAAAGTTGAATAATTTAAACGGTTAGAATTATAACGGCACAGGTATAATAGCTCAATCAATAATAATAATGTGTGAAGGGCCCAGCCTTTCAGCTGGAGGCACTGCGATTCACATTAGAACAGAATCAATTGTACCACACCCTTTAGATCTACAGTTTATAGTGGAATCCGAACCACTTACAAGCTCTGCACATTGCATATTATGTGCCAAAGACCTCAAAACTACACCCAACACACGAACCGAGCTTCGTAACTAGAACGGTGAAATGGAAAAAGAGCTCAATCAAAATCACTATTTAAAGTACAAATTCTTCATTAGCGTAAAGTACGAATATGCTGATGTCAAAACCTTTTTGAAATGGAAAACAGTTAAAACTTTGAGTTCGTAAATTTTAAATTACAAAACGTACACTAGAAAATGTCTCGGCAGATAACGAAACAGATCCAAATCCTGACAGCATGCAAGGCTTTTGTGTTCTCATGATTAAAAATAAAATTAATTTCTTCTCCTTATTGTCATTAAGTTCATACCAATTTGAATTAAGGATATTTTTGCCTACGTCGTGACTAGCAGTTATTAATTTCTGACCATAAAAACTGTACAAATACACCTGACAGATTGAATAAACTGCATAGATAACTGAAAACAGTAAATCTTCAACGCTTGATGTTGTCAGTAACTGAAATCCACAAGAACTTATTGCAATAGCTCCTTGAATGAAGAAGAAAGTGAAGCTGAATACTGACTTTATGTCATCGGTGATCTCAATTAGCTTCTGATGTCGAATGAATAGATTACGAAGATTAATAGTTTGACCTTCATTGATTGTGTTCTTAATGTCTTCGCCAAAAATGCTAAATTCTGTTGAAAGAATCAGAACAATCGCAAATAAGTAAAAATCGGCAGAAATTACATTTACGAGAGAAACTGATACAGTCCATATTAACCAGAGCATTGAAATAATCAAATTGAAATTATTGGCTGTGTCATCAAATGGAAACCAAATTTCAACGGCTTGCTTCATGACATTGTTAAATATGAGTTGATAGAGCATCCCTATTATTGCGCATGATACAGTCGCTAGAGCAAAACTTATATAGATTTTATGAAAGATAAGAAACTGCTTCAAAAGACTCTGCAAGTTGCACTTTTCCTGATCAATTTGAGTTTTTGGAAATAATTTCTTTAATTTCTCCAAAACGTCAAGTATCTCCTTTCGTTTTGTAAAGAACAAGATGCCTTTAGAAAAGTTGTATGGGAATACAGTAATATGCGGTAGAACTCGCACAACTACATGCAGATTATCTATATCAATGATCAGACGAATCCCAAATTGGATGACTATTAGCCACATCCCGATAAAACACGTAAATAGATAAAGCTTCATAAGTTTTTCTATGACTTTAGTACGCTGTGATGTAATCTTTATTGGAATGATGTTGAGTCCAATCAGCTTGTAAGCTTTTAATTGCAACTCCAAAAAATCTTCAAGTTTAATCATTTTGAAACTTTGAATACTCTTTTGATCAGCCATTGCGGATTGCTAAACTACTTCTGAAGCTTTCGAATGTCACAATTATTGCTTTTATACAGGTTTAAAAGACAGAAGATAATTATTGCAATTGAACACTCTGAATTTGTAGTAACACAAATGAAGCGAAATAATACATAAGAAACTTATATAAACTTAGCTTATAATTGAAGCTTTACGTTGGGTGGGAAAAGGGTGTTAATTGATAAATTTAAATTAAATTCGGAAAGAGAGACCTTTCAAAACGCCTTAATCAATTATAAATATTTAACTAATGTCTTGAAAATGAAAAGCAATTAGATACAGTGACATGTCAATCCTCCATTAAACAAAGTTTGAAAAATAAACTGTTCTAGAACATCAACCATATAAGAAGTCCTAGCCTTATTATTTATAACATCGAACTGAACAATTAGAAAAATGATTTTCATTTTGCACATAAATGTTGAATTTAAAGTTTAAATGATTAATTTTGAGCTTTACACTTTTCGAATAATTTTAATTTCATGAAACAAATAATTAAAATATTTGTTAAGATTTAAAGATAAAACTTAAACTACTTAAGAAAATTCTAGATTTATTCAGCAATCTCTCAATCTTAAGTTTATTTCAAATGATATTAAATTAAGCTCTAAATTAATCACATTCATAAATTCAGCAAAAAAACTCTTAAAATATTATTTATTGATAGAATTGTGAAAGACTCTGAGTTATAAATTGAACAAATTATTTAAAGTACAAAGTTTTCATAATAGAAAAGTACGAATATGCTGAACTAAGAACCTGTATGAAATAAAAGTAGAAGATAAGACTTTTTTGAAGTAAAATTTCCGAACTTACATTAGAAAATGTTTCGATTGATAAAGAAATAGTTCCGAATCCTGACAACATACACGGCTTTTGTGATCTTATGATTATAATCATAAGTGATTTCTTTACAACAACATCTTTAAGTTCATACCAGTTGGAATCAAGAATACTTTGACCAATTTTTTGACTTGCTGTAATCAATTTTTCACCAAAATAACAGTACAAATATACTTGAAGGAGCGATAAAGCTGTATAGAATATTGAAAATATAAAGTCAGCATCACTCGATGAGGCTAATAGCTGAAATCCGCAAGAGCTTATTGCGATAGCTCCTTGAATGAAAGCAAATGTAAATGTAAATATTGATGTTATGATTTCAAAGATTTCAATAAGCTCTTGATGTCGGACAACAAGTTTACGAATATCCTCAACTTGTTCTTCATTGATAGCTTTCTTAAAGTCTTGTGCAAGAATGATGAATTCTATTGAAAGAATCAAAACGTTTGCGAACAAATAAAAATCGGCAGAAGTCACATTAAAAACAGAATTTGTTCCAGACCAAATCAACCAAATCAGTGATAAAATTAAGTTCCGATCACTTGCTGTGTCATCGAATGGGAACCAAATTTCAATAGTTTGCTTTCTGATATTGTTAAATATGAGCCGATAGAGCAACCCTAGAGAAGCGGGTGAGGGTCATGGGACCGACAGAATAATTCCGCGGAATTTTATTCTGCAGAATTTTGTTCTGCAGAACTTTATTCTGCAGAATTTTGTTCCGCTTAAATAATTTTTTTAAATTTATTCTGCAGAACTTTATTTTGCAGAATTTTGTTCCACTTAAATAATTTTTTAAAATTTATTGCAGATTTTTAAATATTTTTAAATTCAACAAGATTAATTTAAAAACTAATTTCCAAATCAAAGATTTAATTTTTAATACCAATGATCCAAAATGATTTAAAGACCATCAAAAAACAGATCTATAATCGATTGATTGTTAATTCTTTAAGTGCAGGGGTCAAAAAGTAGAGTAAATAAAAAAATTGTTTCAAAAAATACAGACTTTATTATAGTGGCATAGAAAAAACTAATGTGTATAATTAATGGAAAAAAAAATTATTTTTTTTTCCATTTTAATTCATAGTAATTTAACGACGAGAAGCACGGGAACGTCGTGTATTACGGCTTCTAGGGTTTTGTTCACGACTACGGGCCGAACGAGGAACTGCTGCACGTCCACGAGATGATAAGTGAGCTGTGATATCGCCTTCATTATTAAGCTCATGGTTTTGATCAATTATATGGTTATTTGTAAGAATCTCATGCATTAAAGGTACTGACGGGACTTGCTGCTCTTGTCGTGGATGTTCATTAACAACCCGCAATTGATCAAGACATGCTGTAGCAAGATCAGCACTGATTTGTCCTCTGCGCTCAACTACTCCCACCATAGGGTCTCCTTAATAATAATAATAATAATCCTTTATTCAATACATAATATAAGGCGGAACAGCTACAGAATAATTTTGATGTTAACCTTAATCGGTTTTAAATCAATTGTGATTTTGTGAAGGAGCTAAGAGTAATTGCTTGAGGTGAAAAGTATATAAAATTACAATGAAGTTTAGGCAGAAAAAATGTTAAAAAAAGCCAAAAAATTTTTTAAGAAAAGTTTAAATAGAAAATCATTAATAAGTAATTAATTTAATTTAAGCGTATAGACTTAATTCAAAGCTCTTGGTAGTCTATGTTTTACTCTAAAGCTCAGAGAATCGTGATTATATTGACCGAGAGAGGAGATGAGATCATTTGGATGGTGTATAATTTTGCCATAGAAGTTATTAGTGACATTTGTAACAAAAGCTTTGATTGAAGGTAGATTTGATAGCTTATGTAAAATTTCGTTCGATTTGAAGTCAGACCAGTGAACATCATGGATCACTCTTAGAATTTTATTTTGAAATAATTGCAGCTTATTCAAATGGCAAGCTGCAGCATTCGAGAAAATAGGACAACCATATGTTAAAATTGGTCTGATGTAAGACTTATAAATTCTAAGTTTAGAGTCTGTAGAGACAACGGAATTCCTACTCAATAAGCAGTATAGACTCGAGAAACTGGCAGCACTGGCTTTGTTAATGGATGAGTCAATATGATGTTTAAAGATCAGTTTCCGATCAAGAACAACGCCGAGATACTTCACTGCCTCTTTCCAAGAAAACAATTGACCATTGAAGCTAATCGAATCATGTGCGGTTTTCTCGATCATTTTTGTGGATTTGGAAAACATAATGAATTCGGTTTTAGACTCATTGATTTGAATTTTCCAATCCTGAAAGTAAGTTGGCAAACAACTCACAGTTTTGAGAAGTTCAAGCTTAATAGGTTTCAAATTTTTCCATGCCATCTGAACAGAGAATGCAGTGTCATCTGCATAGAGAGACAAATGACCTTTTCGTGGAATTGGGATATCTTTTAAGAATAAATTAAACATGTGTGGAGCAATAAGCGAACCTTGGGGGACACCAGAAGTTACATCAAAATAGAAGGAATCTGCTGATTGACAAGTGACAAAAGCAGTACAGTCTTTCAAATATGAATGTATGATTTTAATTAAATAGACAGGATAATTGTATTGTAGAAGCTTGTGGACTAGACCGTCATGCCAAACGCTATCGAATGCTTTTCGCAAGTCCAGTAGAACCATGCCAGTGCTTTTGTTGTTATTAAATCCAAAGGACACTTTTTCTGAGATTCGCAAAATCTGATGGACTGTGGAATGAAGAGATCGGAATCCACACTGCTGCTTAATAAAGATGCTGTTTTCAAATTCAAAATCGTTCAGCTTGCTTAATGAGCACATTCTTGGATTCCTCCAAAATTTTCCCAAACAGTTTTTTTTTCCATTAATTATACACATTAGTTTTTTCTATGCCACTATAATAAAGTCTGCATTTTTTGAAACAATTTTTTTATTTACTCTACTTTTTGACCCCTGCACTTAAAATATTAACAATCAATCGATTATAGATCTGTTTTTTGATGGTCTTTAAATCATTTTGGATCATTGGTATTAAAAATTAAATCTTTGATTTGGAAATTAGTTTTTAAATTAATGTTGTTGAAGTTAAAAATATTTAAAAAGCTGCAATAAATTTTAAAAAATTATTTAAGTGGAACAAAATTCTGCAGAATAAAGTTCTGCAGAACAAAATTCTGCAGAATAATTCTGCAGAATAAATTTAAAAAAATTATTTAAGCGGAACAAAATTCTGCAGAATAAAGTTCTGCAGAACAAAATTCTGCAGAATAATTCTGCAGAATAAAATTCCGCGGAATTATTCTGTAGGTCCCATGACACTACGCCTCTGCAAGTTACATTTTTGTTGCTCAACCTGAGTTGAAGGAAATGAAATCTTTAATTTGTCCAATATATCAAGAATCTCCTTTCGTTTTGTGAAGAACAATGTTGTTTTAGAAGAATTGTACGGAAATACAGTAATGTTCGGCAGAATCTTTGCAACTAACTGTAGATTGTGTATTTCAACGATCAAAGAAATTCCAAATTGAAAAGTTATTAGCCACATCCCGATAAAGCATACAAAAAAGTAACATTTCATCAAATGTTCTTTGTTTTTAGTACGCTGTGATGTAATCTTCATTGGAATGATGTTCAGTCCAATCAGCTTGTAGGCTTTTAATGGCAATTCGAAAAAAATCTTCAAGTTTTATCATTTTGTAACTTTGAATGCTCTTTTGATCAGACATTGCGGATTGAACGATTACTTCTGAAGCAATCGACAGTCATAATTATTGCTTTTATTAAGATTTTGCTGATTGTGAATAATTTATGCAACTGCTCACTGTGAATCCGACCAACACAAAGTAAACGAAAGAATTTAAAGAAAGACCCTTAACCACGACATTGCAACAATTAGACATATTTAACTAATGTTTAAAAAGGAAAGCAATTAGTTACAGTGGCATGTCAAGGCACACCTGTCAATCCTCCATTAAACAAAGATTGAAAAATAAACTGTTCTGGATCATCAACCATTTAAAAATAAAGAAGTCCTAGCCTTATTATTTATAACACCAAACTGAATAGCTTGAAAAGTGTTTTTTTTCATTTTGCACATAAATATTGAATCTATGGGTCGATTACGGCACAAAAAAAAATCATTTCTAGTTTGATCCTTTTAAAAAAACAAAGAACATTTTTACCTCTATTCAAATATATTTTATTCTTAATTCTTCGGCTGTCTAATATTGAAGTCCATATATTTTGCTACAAAACTACTAAAACTATATTTATTGATAGACTCGTGAAGGAATCTGAACCACAAGTTGAAAATAAATTATTTAAAGTACAAATTTTTGAGGAGAGTGAAGTACGAATATGCTGATTTTAAAACCTATACAGAAAGAAACGAGTTGAACAGTAAATGTCTCATTCCGAAACTTATTAAACTTACAGATGAAAATGCTTCAATAGATAACGAAACAAATCCAAATCCTGACAGCATGCAAGGCTTTTGTGATCTCATGATTATAAACAACATTGATTTCTTCATTCTAATATTCTTAAGCTCATACCATTTTGAGTCGAGGATTCTTTTTCCAACATCTTGACTTGCTGTATTCAATTTTTCGCCATAAAAACAATACAAAAATACTTGACTGAGAGAACAAGCTGTGTAAGATATAGAATAGAGTAAATCTGCAAGACTTGGTGCAGTCAATAGCTGAAATCCACAAGAACTGATTGAGACAGCTCCTTGAATGAATGTGTAGAAGAAAATGAAGGTGAACAATGTCTTTATGTTCTCACTGATTTCAATTAGCAGCTGATGATGAACAAGAAGCTCACGCAAGTTTGAAGTTTGTCCTTTATTGATTGCTTTCCTAATATCTTCAGCAAAAATATTAAATTCTGTTGAAAGAATCAAAACAATCGCAAATAAGTAAAAATCAGCAGATATCACATTGACAGCAGCATTAGGCACAGTCCAAATTAACCAAAGCAATGATAAAATCAAGTTACGATCATTGGCTGTGTCGTCAAATGGGAACCAAATTTCAACAGCTGGCTTCCTGATATTGTTAAATATAAGCTGATAGAGCATTCCTATTGTTGCAGATGAAATAGTCGCCAAATAGAAAACGATGTAGACCTTATAAACGATGAGAAACCATTTTAAACGACCTTGTAAGTTACACTTTTGCTGCTCAACTCTAGTTGTAGGAAATGAGTTCCTTAATTTTTCCAATATGTCAAGAATATTCTTTCTTTTCGTGAAAAACAATATGCCTTTAGAACAATTGTACGGAAATATAGTAATATTTGGTAGAATCCTTACAACCACATCCAGATTATTTATGTCAATGATCAGACGAATCCCAAATTGAATGATTGTAAGCCAGATACCGATAATACATGCAAAGAAGTAATACTTCATCAACTTTTCAATGATTTTAGTTCGCAATGATGTAATTTCTATTGGAATGATGTTCAGTCCAATTAGCTTGAAGATTTTTAATTGAAATTCGAAAAAATCTTCCAATTTTATTGCTTTGTAAGGACTGACTTCTGGTACTTCCATTTCGATTGTCAAGATTTTTCCTTCTTTCTTACTTTGCTTCCAAAACTTCAATGAACCAGTTTCATATAAATGTATTACAGTTTAATGTATGAAACAGGATCTACGTGATTTTTTGGATTACAAACTATTCTAAACTCAAATTACATTTTTCTAGATTTTATTTCAAACTTTAAACATCAAAAACAAAAGTTTTTCTTTGAACAATTTAAAAATATATTATTCCTAGTAATTTGACACACGTTTCTAGTCTTTTTAACATTGATTGCTTACAATAAAGCTTTACTAAAGGTGGTTTGTGGCTTCTAGTTTAATTCTAGAGGTTCAATAAGTATTGTATGGCTTGAATCTAAACTCATTCTTATATATCCTACTTACAACATAGCAAATGACATGTATATTTTTTATTGTAGCTTTAAATGCGAGGCTAAACGTTGTATATGATTCAACAAGCTTCAAAAATTTTGACATTTAAGTTCAATTTAACATTCAAGTACAGAACTACTTACATAAAGAGTATTTAAAATCATTTTTCACAAATTGAATCTAAATTGGCTGTTGCTAAATTAGTGTTATCTGAATATCAAATGAAGACATTAGCTTCAAATTGCCATCAAATCAACTGTTCTGAATAATTGACAAGATCAATTTGTAATATTTTGAAATCAACTATTCATTCAATCCTAATTCTGAATAAAAATTCTATAATAAATCAATTAGATTATTAAAGGTTAGATTGTCAATAATTTACCTCTATAATAATGAGAACATTGAATTTTTAATCTAATTGAAGTACATGTTCTTTAAAAGCGTGAAGTATGAATATGAAGTTGTCAGTACCTGCAATAAAGCACTATTAAAATCAGAGGAGCTATCTGAAACTTTAAGAACTCACAGCTGAAAATGTTTCCTTGGACAATGTAACAATTGTGTAAGCAGACAATGCACATGGCTTTTGTGCACGAAGCATCATAAACTTGAGATCCATTTTCAACTTGTTATCCTTCAAGGCATACCAATTTGAGTCTGCAATACTCTCACTGACACCAATGCTAGACTTCATCAATTTTTCACCATAATAGCAATATAGAAAAATTTGACTGATTGAACCACCTGAATAGGCTGCACAATATGTTAGTTCTGCGATGTCACTGGATATTAATAACTGAAATCCACTTGTACTAACAGCTACTGCGCCTTGAAAGAAAGTATAAAAGAAGTAAAATCGAAATAATAAATCCAGCTGTGTGTAAATATCCATCAACTTTTGATGCCGGACAAACATTTCACGCAACTTTAATTTATTTTCTTGTGCAATGGCTGATTTTATGTCATCACTAAGCACGTCAAATTCAAGAGATAAGACGAGAACTAATCCAAAAGTGAAGAAGTCGGCTGATGCTAAGATAAGGCATAGACTTGAAGCAATCCACACTATCCATAAAGATGTTGTTATAAAGAAAAAGTTGTTGCCGGTATCGTTGAATGGAAACCAAATTTCTACTAATTGCTTTCTATATCCATTCACAATTAGATGATATCCAGAGTCAACTGAGACGGACGAGACGAGAAAGAAGTAGAATACTCCAAAGATTTTATAATTCCGGTTGAATTCTTTAAGTTTCTGTTGGTAAAAGAACTTTTCTTGGGTGAATTTTGACACTGCAAAATTTTCTCTCAAGTCACTAAGTATTTTGAGAACAGTTTTGCGTTTCATAAAAAGAAGGAGGCCTAAATAAAGGAATAGAAACGAATATAAATGGCTACAAATCTTCTCAAAGGTGTCACACTGCGTCAGACCACCCACACGTCTCTACTTGAGTCTAAAACAATACATACTCTTAGAACTGTTGTACGGAATGTTTGTCAAATTTGGCAGCACTCGAATAACAACAGGAATATCATTTATGCTCACAATAACACGACTTGCTAATGCAACGATAAATAGCCAAACATTGATGATTAAAAAAAAGTAAAATCTTTTCAAAATCTTCTCTCTTAGTTGCACTCGCGCTGAAATATTTGTCGATGGAATCAAAATCAATCCAACAAACTTGAAACACTTGAGTGGAAATTCAAAGAAATTTTCGATCTTTATTTTTCCTCTTGGAGCAATTTCTTCTCTAGTCGTGGTCATCACAAAATCACAAAGTTTTTTGATTCTCAGTTCTGTGAAAACGGGAATGTGTGCCTACCCGATCAGACTTATAAGTTTAATGTTTGGATTTTATAAAATTCAATAGAATGACATAGGACTGATTGAGGCAGTTTTCAATATAATTGGGAAATTTGAATATTAAATCACTTTAACTCATGATTTATTTTGTAGTCTGGAAGTTTCAGTTAAATTATTATAACTTAGTTTTAAAGATCAAACAGTCTGAAAAAGTAAGAAATAAGTTTAAAATTTTAAAAAGACATTAAACTTGTCGAACACAATAATGTCCTGAGATTAATACAAATTTATTTGATTAAAATGCATGTCAAGTGCTGAAAACATTTTATAGAGTCCGATTTAAATATTTTGATAATTATTTAAAAAACAAATTTTTTAAAATTGCAAAGTACGAGTATGCTGATTTAATAACCTAATAATGAGATAAGTTTAAGATTATTATCAAGTTACACAATTTTCTATAATTATTCAAAAATGTTTGGTATAAAAATAATATTTTGAATGAGCAATGATAACAAATGAAGAGCTCAAACCTCTAGAAAGCTTTTTGTCAGTTTAAATGCAGCTTGTACAACTTACAAGTGAATACGTATCGATAGATAATGTAACAAATCCATATCCTGAGAGTGTACAGCCTTTTTGAGATCTTACAATTATCAACAGTAACAATTTCTTCATTTCGATGTCATCAATTTCATACCAGTTTGAGTCATAAATGCTTAATGCTATGCTTTCACTTTGAGTTATTAATTTTTCACCAAAATAACAATACATAAAAACAACCACAAATGCAGAAGTGGCATAAAATGACGAATAAAGAAAATTTGTCGTGCTTGATGTTGCAATGAGTTGAAATGTTGAAGAACTTATTGTTATAGCTCCTTGAATAAATGTGTAGAAGAAAATGAAAGAAAATATACTCTTAATTTCTGCAGCAATATCAATTAGCTCCTGATGTCTGATCAAAATGTTACGAAGATTTACAAATGATTTTTCATTGATTGCGTTTTTGATATTTTGTCCAATAATTTTGAATTCTATTGCAAGAACTATAAACATTGCACACAAGAAGAGATCAACAGCACATACAATGAAAACTGAATTATAAATTGCCCAAATACCCAAAACAACAACGATCATAAAAGTTAAACTATTGGCAATCGGATCGAATGGAAACCAGATTTCATCTGGTAATGTCCTGACATTATAATACATTAAATTGAAGAAAACTTCAATAGTTGGCGTAAAAACTATTAGGCAGTACAAAAAAACGAAAAATTTTGTGAAAATGTTGAACCATTTGTATTCAGAATCTAAACCACTGCTTTGCTGATCGACTATAGTTGAAGGATATGAATTTGTTTAAAAATTCGAAGATTTTCTTGCGATTGACATAAAGTAAAATTGTTTTAGATAAACTGTACGGAAATGATACAAAATTAGGGAGAGTAAGGACAATTATATGCAAATTTTTTATATTAACTAAAATATGAATGCCGAATTGAATTGTTAAAGTAACAAAGCAAAAGATGCACATGTAAAAATAATATCTCATTAACTTATTTTTAACTTTTTCTTTATTCGTAACTGGAGTTTTTGGAAAAATATCCAATCCAACGAATTTAAAGAATTTCATTTGGATCTCAAAAAAATCTTCCAAATTTATTATTTTATTATCGTTTTGCACTTCCATTTGAGTTTAATTTATTGAACTTTAACACTTGAGTTTTAAACGACGAATGAAATTTTTGTTGGCAGATTTTATAAAGTATGAGGTTTGAAGTAATTAATTTAATGTTTCTGGATCTTTCTGCATATCATTTATGTCCTTAAAAATCTGGTTAATTGGTTCGAATTTCTTAACTCATTAATGTATAAGGTCACATTACTAATCAATTGATAGCAATTGATCATGACTTGAAAAATCTACGTCTTTTGAAAATACAAACAATTGTCAATTGAATTCCTGCGTATCTCCATCGGGCCCCTAATCATACGCCAAATTTCGTAGCACCAGAATAACAACAGGAATGTCAGTAAGGCTTTGATTCAAACTACTTGCATGACAAGTCTAAAAGTTCAAATAGTCCACTAAAAAGTAAATTGAAAAATGATGCATTTTAAAATTTTGTAAAGTCATCATTATTGCACATATCTTGACAAATAGACAATTTTATTTAAACAGCTGTCATGTTAAGTGCTTAAAACAATAAAACATGACTTATTTGATAAACATCCTTGTTGACGTGATTTTCCACAATTAAGCTTTGATATTTATTTCAAAAATAAATTTTGCAGAATCGTAATGTAAGAATATGATGACTTGAGTACCTAATGAAAGATACACAATAATAGATCATAATATATTAAAATCTGTAAAACCTGAATCTTCATAACACCTTAATTATTAGTGTTACTCGTACTTACAAGCGCGAATGTATCAATCGACAATGTAACGAATCCATATCCTGCAAGCGTGCAGGCTTTTTGAGATCTCATAAGAACCAGCTGAATTGATTTCTTGGCTCCAATGTCTTCAATCTCATGCCAATTGGACTCATAAATTTTAGCTGCAATACCTTCACTTTCAGTAATTAGCTTTTCTTCAAATGTACAATACATAAAAACAAGACTGAATGTAGTAAAAGTATGAAATAATAAGGCCAGTAAATTTGTAGTACTTGTTGCTGTTGAGATAAGAAAAATTGAAGAAGCTATAGCAATGCTTCCTAGAAAGAATGCATAGAAGAAAATTGGCGAAAATGTGTTCTTAATTTCTTCATCAATTTCGATTAGTTCTTGATGACGGACCAAAATCTCACGAATAATTTCTAATTCTTTTGCATTAATTGCATTTTTAATGTTTTGACCTATAATTCTGAATTCTATAGAAAGAATAAGAAATATGCCATACAAGAAAGCATCAATAGCACATGAAGTAAGCATCGAATTATATAAAGCCCAAGTACTCCAACCAATGGCACTCAAAAAATTAAAATCACTGACCAAAGGATTAAATGGAAACCAGATTTCAGATTCTAACTTTCTGATTTTAAAGCAAAAGAAATTAAATAAAATTCCAACGATTACGATTGAAACAGCTAAGAATGTTATAGCGATATAAATCTTAGTAAAAATATTAAACCATTGAAAATCATTGTCTAGACCACTGCTTTGCTGTTCGGCTTTCGATTTGGGAAACGATATTCTCAAGCTGTCTAATATAATGACGATTTTTTTCCGTTTAATAAAAAATAAAATAGATTTCGAACAGTTGTATGGAAAAACTACAAAATTAGGTAGAGTAAGCACAACTGTCCGCAAATTTCTTATATTGATTATAATATGAATTCCGAATTGAAATGATAACATTATGAAGCCAAGAATACAGAAAGAAAAGTAAATTCTTATCAACTGGTTCACAACTTTTTCTCTTTTCGTAGTCAGATTTTTTGGGAAAATATTTAATCCAACAAACTTAAAAATCTTTAATTGAATCGACAGAAAGTCTTCTAACTTTATGCTTTTATCTTTAGAGACTAAATCTTTTGATGCCATTTTTAATACTGCTTTAAATTGACTTCAACTCTTGAGTTTCAAACGATGAATGAGACTTTGTTGCTGGCTTTTTGAATAAGAATATAAGTTTTTTGAGTAATTATAAAATCTGTTCCAAAAATCAGGTAAAACAAATTCTGGCTAATGAATTTAAATTTCGTAACTTAATTGATTTGATTAAATTATAGATCAATTGATTCTTGTCCAAACAGTTTACCAAGAAAATGTATTAATTGCTTAATTAACAGCAATTTATTTTAACATCCTTAGTTACTACACTATCAGCAATGATTAACTTTCACAAGGTAAGATTTGATTATTTTCATTAGAATTTATTAAATTTATTAATTTAGGAACCGAAATGATTTCGCCATTTTGAAAACTAGTAATTTATTTTATTCATAATTATTGAAAATACAAATTTTGCAAGATTGTAAAGTACGAATATGCTGATTGTAGCACCTAATGATGTGATGAAACAAAAGCAGAATAACTTAAAAGAACTAATAACAAGCTATACTTACATTAGAAAATGTCTCAATAGACAATGAAACAAATCCATATCCTGAGAGCGTGCAAGCTTTTTGAGATCTTAGAATTGCAAGCAAAATCGATTTCTTCACTCCAATGTCATCAATATCATACCAGTTTGAATCATAAATAGTTGTTGCTACACCTTCACTTTCGGTTATCAATTTCTCACCAAAATAACAGTACAAAAAGACTAGAATAAAAGAACAAGCTGCATAGGATACTGAATAAAGTAAATTTTCAACAGTTGGTGCTGTTAATAGTTGAAATCCAGAAGCAGATATTGAGATAGCTCCTTGAATGAACGTGTAGAAGAAAATAAAGTCAAATGATGCCTTAATGTCATCGTTAATTTCAATTAGCTTTTGATGTCGAACAAAAAGTTCACGAAGTTTTGTTAATTCCTTCGCATTAATTGCTTCTTTAATATTGTTACCAACTGTACTGAATTGTATTGAGAGAATTAGAAACTTAGCACACAAGAATAAATCTATAGCGATTGTAATGAAAACTGCATTGTATATGGACCAGACACCCCACATCATTGCGTACATAAAATTTAGATTATTGACAAGAGGTTCAAAAGGATACCAAATTTCAGTTGCTAGCTTCCTGACATTGTTGAAAATAAATTGATATAAAATATCACTTCCAGCCACTGAAAGTATTCCGAAATAGCTAAGAATGTAGATTCTATTGAGCATTTGAGACCATTTAAAATGACTGCTCAGTTTACACTTTTGCTGATCAACTTCAGATTCAGGATAAAAGATTCTAATTTTATCCAACAACTCGAGAATCTTCTTGCGTTTGATGAAGAATAAAATAGCTTTAGAGCAATTGTACGGAAACAGCACCATGTTAGGGAGGATTTGAACAATTATGTGAATATCATTTATATTAATAATTATCTGAATGGCAAACTGAATTGTCACCAGAATAAAACCAATGATGCACACGTAAAAGTAATATCTCATCAACTTATCTACTACTTTTGCTCGTGTTGATGTTCGTTCGACTGGAATAACATTTAATCCAAGAATTTTAAAGATTTTTAATTGAAGCTCGAAAAAATCTTCTAATTTTATTGTTTTTTGTGTTAAGTTCTGATCGGTTGCCATTTGAAATGTCCAGTTTGTAGATCTGCTACTCTCGATTATCAAAATTACACTGAAAAGTTTTTGAAATTGTATTACTTAATATTATAGCTTTGAAAACAGTTCAAGAAGAATTACATTTTCAATTTTTTATTTTTCAAACTCAATTAAATTTGCCCTTACATAATATGAACTGATAATGGTTAGATTTTTTAGTAATTTATTAATTAAAAATGATTTAATTTAAAAAAGCCGTGCGAATCTATTATTCAACAACTCAAAAATTAAAGGTTGATATTAATCACTTAATTTCAACTCTTATCGATTCTACTGTGGAAGTTGAATATTCAATTAAAATATAAATTTTGTAATACTGTAAAGTATGAATATGCTGATTGTAGTATCTGTCAAAAAAAAATTTATAATGTAAATTAAGCAATTAAGCAATAACAAAGTTAAAATGTTAGATTAAGTTCATTAAGATTAGCTTTAAAGCTAAGTTCAATATTTCTCAAATTTTCAAACCTAGATTTTTAGTTTCTACTGACAACTTACATTCGAAAAAGTTTCAATCTCCAACGAAACAAATCCAAAGCCTGAAAGCATGCAGGCTTTCTGAGAACGCATGATGATAAACAAAATGGATTTCTTCATTTCCGGATACTCAAGATCGTACCAATTTGAGTCTAAAATACTATGTCCAGCATCTTGACTTGCTCTAATCAATTTCTCACCAAAATAACAGTACAAAAAGACTTGACTTAACGAGCAGGCTGTAAAAGATATTGAGTACATTAAATCTGCAAAGTTTGGAGCTGTCAAAAGTAAAAATCCACAAGAACTTATTGCAACGGCTGCTTGTAGTAATGTGTATGAGAAAATAAAGCAAAACAATGTCCGAACTTCGTCACTGACTTCAATTAAATCCTGATGCTTTACAATCAATTTGTACAATCTTGAAATTTGACTCTCAATTATTGCATTTTTAAGATTTTCACCAACAACTTTAAATTCAATTGACAGAACAAAAACCGTCGCGAATATGAAAAAGTCAGCAGCAATCACATTAACGCAAGCATTTGAAATTGACCAAACTCCCCAAAATAAAGTTTGAATAAAAATTCGATTGTTTGCTGTGTAGTCGTATGGGAACCAAATGTCAATGGGTAATTTTCGAATATCCTTAAAAATGAGTAGATGAAGCACTCCAGACATTGCTGATGAGATGTCTATGTAATAAAAGAGCATGTAGACTTTGTAAATCATACTGAAGGATTTTAAATGTTTTTCAAGTTTAAAGGTTTGCTGATCAACTTCAGTTGCAGGGAATGAGATCCTTAATTTGTCCAATATTTTCAGAATCTTATCGCGATTGATGAAGAAGAATATTCCTTTTGAGCAGTTGTATGGAAATAATATAATATTCGGTAGAATATTGACAACAACTTCAAACTTCTTTATGTCAATCACTAGTTGAATACCAAATTGAAGAATCAACAGCACAAATCCAATGATGCACAAGTAAAAATACCATCTCATTAATTTATCTAGTATTCTAGCTCGAATTGATGTCAATTCCAATGGAATTATATTCAATCCAATGAGTTTGAATACTTTCAATTGAATTTCAAAGAATTCTTCCAATTTTATTATTTTTGATGGTACAAAGTCATGATTGGAATGTTCAGCTACCATTTAACTATTTGAATTTTCCTCTATGTCACTTGACTTACTAGTTTTGAATGATATCTGTCATCACATAAACACTTTCTTGTTGGTAATTAATTTAAGCTTTTAAAGATAATTGATTGCTTAATATTTTATATTCAGTGAAATCAGACGAATCAAGTTCCAGTTTTTTTAATTCAACTTCAATCCCTGAATGATTGACAATTAATAATTTAACACAGAAATCAGAATGAATAAGCAGAATTTTTAATTGTCTGCCTTTTTATGAAGTAAAACGTGATTCCGGGAAAGTAAAAATGAAAAATAATCATCAAATTGTAATTAAGTTTAAAAATAGTTCAATTGATTGATTAATCAATTGCTAAATTGATTCAAATTTTCACTCAATTGTCCTTAAAATCATAAGGTAATGCCAGAAGCAAGTGTGATTTGAGATAACGAAGGTTGTTGGTTAAAATTTTGATATTTCATAATACCGACCACAATCGACTGCTTTTTGTACGAAATCAAGACTAATTTTAAGTTCAGGACAATTTTGATTGATGAACGGGTTGGGGCTAAGGTGTAGCTTGAAAGTATTTGGGTCAAAAACCTCCTCTTTGAGAAAATATTCTCAATTTTTTACATACCGTTTAGTGAAGGACTTGAATTGGATTGAATAAAATAAGAACAAAAACATCAAAACTAACCTTGAATTCAGATTATTGCAATACAGATCAAAAGAGGAATCAATTTCCCGATTTCATGAGAACCAAAGTCTCATAACTCTTAATTCTCCATCATCAATCGTTAATTTGACATGTATTACTAATTTTAAAATTTGCATTGTTCTGGATTATTCCGACTGACAAACAGAAATTCAGATATTTATAAAAAAACACGAGTTTCGAGATCTCGCAACTTAATATTTAATACATTTAAGTATTAAGCCCTATTTCGTTATTTTGGACAATCCTTACAGTGAAACATCTTCATTTCAAATTTGTAGGGAATTAAAATTCTATTTAACTTGCTCATCACAGCATCATATCAATTATATATTAGTGATAAACATCATTTCAGCAGCTGCTAGTTGAATACATTGATCATCAAATGTATTAGACATAAAAAAGATTTTTGTCAAACTATAAATGATTTGGAAACTTATGTGACAATTCAATTTGTGAGTAGCATCTGAAGTGAAAAGTACTTTAAAGCTATAATATTACCGAAAAAAATAAATTAAAAATGAAAGTGCTACCGTGGATTATTTTTGTTTGTTTTGTAACAGCCGTAGTTGCAAAACCAGATCAAGGAACAATGGTTGACCCTAAAACGAATGCCCTAACAACGGCAGCACCAATGGCGGTAGCTCCAACGGCAGTGGTTCCAACGGCAGTGGTTCCAACGACTGTTGCTCCTGTACAATCAACATCAGCTCCCGTACAACCAACGTCAGTTCCAGTTCAAGAAAATTCTATGTCTGGCTGGATGATTACTCTTTATATATTCCTTGGTATTCTTGGAGTCGTGATATTAGTAATTGTTGGATTTATACTCACGAAAAAATTCTGTCCATAATAATTAAAATATATCTTATGATACAATTTAAAGTGGATACAACGAAAGTGTAATATTTGCCAGAAGTCCTAGCGCAGTACTAAGTAATTTTCAAATTGTTCATTGATTTGCCACATTTAGTTTTTAAATTATTGAAGCTTGTTTTCATTTAAGAATTTCAGTTTTTATTTAAAAGCAAATTGAGTACTTCCCTGTACAATGTTTATTGTTTTTGCATGCTCAAATGAAAACAAGATGAGATAATAATGAACTATAAATATTAAAATAATCTATAATCAATAACTCAGTCTATGCATAAAGTCAGTTAAGAAAAAAACTCGTTTTTAATGTTTTATAAGTTTTTATAAAAAATAAATTTTTTAAAAATTAGAGAAAAAATGAAAGTTTTTCAATTTTTTGTGGTCGCTTGCGTTATTTGTGGTGCTTTAGGAAAGCCAACTGATAATCAATCGCCAGAAGATCAACAACCTCAAATTTCAGATGAAAATCAGTCATCAGAAGATCAACAACCTCAAATTTCAGATGATAATCAGTCATCAGAAGATCAGAATAATCAAATTTCAACTAAAAATTCTCAAGAAGAATCCAAAAATCAGTCGTCAAGTGATAAAAACAGCTTAGAAGATAATCAAAATGATAATCAAGATTATGACCAAAATGAGTCCAACTCACAAAATGAATCCAGCACAACAGATTCAAATAATGAGAGCACAACACCCAGTACAGAAAATCCTGACCAGGATAATAATGAATTAGATGAAAATCAGTCAACCAACATTGTTGAGTCATCTACAGACATTGAAGTAAATAGCACAACTTCAAGTTCTACGGAAGAGCCTGAAAATCAAACAAATGCGCCAGAAACTAGCAGTTCATCTTCTGATTTACTTAAAAGTGAATCTCATCCAGCAATAAAAAGTAATGATTTGTCTGGTTTTATATATGCAGTAATTGCTGTTTTAGCACTTTCTGCTACGGTTTATGTTGGGTATACTTATTATGTGAGGAAATATCTTTAAATATTGGGCAATTCCACGAGTAAAGGGAACTGAGAAAAAGCAAGTTGTAATATTTTTCTACTTGTAGTAATTTGAATTTTTTTTTACCGTTACAAATTTTCAAAAGATTCAAACTAATTTTCATTGCCTTGATTATTATTTCGATTATTACACAAAATTATGATGTTAACATGAAAAAAAAAAACACATTAAATTCATTATTAACCCAATAAAATGTTATTTTTCGAAGAGAAATTATTCTTAGCAATAAATAAATTTAACGGAAATTCAAAATTCAAATTTTCTGTTTTTTGTTGGTTCTGGATAAAGCGCTGAAAACTTAACCGATTAACGCAGTATTTTTTAATTTTCTCTGTGAATAAAGCATTTAAGAACAGAAAAAGTGTACAAATAAGTAGAAAAAGTGAATATCTATGGCTTAAAAATATACTTGAGCACAAAAAATGGATATTTGAAGACTTTTTTAAGGATATAAGAAGCGAAATTTTCGTAAACTTAACCGATTAACGATGAAAAAACTGAATTATTTCAGTAAATAGACCTTTAAACGTTTAATTACCTATTTTAAAATGAATATCTTGAGTTATTACTAATTACAAATTTTTAAAAGAACGGAAAAAGGTGTTATTTTAAGAGTATTTTGATCAAAAAGAATTTTACTTGCATTTTTTCACTCATGGAATTGCCCTATCGAGGAATTTATGAAGGGTTCGATCACTTATGACGGTCATTTTTTAAAAAAGAACAATGGAATTCCAACAATTTTTGCTGACTCCCCTCTGGAAGTCATAAGTGAACGGCCCCAAATCAATTTTTAGTTTAAATGTTAAATATTATCAATTTTTTATACCAAACTCGTCAAAACAGAAGATTTTATTTTCTTCAAAAAATTAGTTTTATTCAAAGTTTTATATTACATTTAAAAAAAATTATAAGTTTGTTCTCATGTTCCTAAAATCAATGAAATGTATTACACCAAAATGTCAGCAGGATGTTAATGTATTACATTTTAATGATTTTAATAATATAAGATCAAAAACTTAAGTAACTTAATAAAGCAAGTTAGGTCTATAAAAAGATCCTATCGGAAAATTTGTCATTGATTTAAAATTTAGATTAAAAATCCAATTCCAATAAGTGACCTAAATCTTATATTGAATATCAATAATTGTTATTGTTTTTTACTGCATGTACTAGCAACTAAGTAGATTTTTATTACTAGTCATTTGCTGCTTAGTTGCATGCACATTAGATCTGCTCTAAATTGAGTTTTTATTTGTAATATTTAAATTAAGCAGGAAGAAGCAGAAGACGAGAATGTTAAAGCATTCGATGAAGATTAAGGAATTTTTAACAAGTTGCCCTAAAATGAAAAGGTTATCGACATTGAACTTGAAAATTACATCACTAAGTAGAGCAAATTCCCTAACCTTCATCAATAATTTATTTTAATCTATATTAAATTTTTCTACATAAACACAAAGTATGTTTCTCTAGAATTCAGCAACTTCCGTATTTTTTAAGGTTAAAATCAGTTTAAATATTAAGTTTGTAGTAAAGGTGGGTTGAAAGCTAGGTTTGGTAGCTACTGTAGTATTATAATTTGAGTTTTAAGCAGGTCTAGATTTAACACCAAGACCTGAGTTCAAAAAGTCAATAAAACCATAGCAGCAACCAAACCTAACTCCAAACATCCACCCTTGGTATATCGAGAAGTTTCTCTTAAATTAATTCAAAAAAAAAACTTAATTAATAAACAGCGTTACTTTGTAGTCTTTCCATCTGCTCCTCGCCTTTTCTATCCTTCCGATAGATTATAAATGCGATAAAAATTATGAGCACTATAAGTGCTACTCCAATTATTAAACAAGTGATTGCGTCTATTTGAAAGGCTGTTGATTTTTCATTTTCAGTAGCGTACCGTGAAAATCGTGGATTTTTGTATGAAAATGTGGTTTGATTCTTATTTGGCGACGGCGATGATGAAGGAACTGTAACTTCTTTTGTTAAAATCTTTTCTGTCAAATTTTCAATATCTCCGATTGCATTTTCAACAGAATGCTCGCCACTTTCTTTAAGAATCAAGGCTGACTTATCGACCATTTTAAATTGCCGGTTACGGGATGTTCGTTCTCTATCTGACCATGAATCTTCCTCAACTACTACATCACCTTTTCCAGGCAGTGCTAATCTTGCTCTGACTGTCAGTGTGTCTGGCTGGAATGTGCAGACAACAAGGAATCTTCTTGTGCTGTGTGTTAGGATTCCTGAATTTTCTTGAACAGTAATGTAAGTTTCGACTGTCAAATCTTCATGTGACACTGTTGATCCACACCGTTCGTGATCAATTCTCATTGCATACGTTTCTTTTGGATCTTTTGCATTTCCTTGAATGCCACAAATTCCATTTTCAGATGCAATTTTCCCACCAAAATAAGGTCCAGTCTCAACAAGAATCTCTGACTCATTTGGTAGACATTTCGTCGCAATTGCTGAGAATCCTTTTGTTGGAATGATGATCGATTGACCTGTTTTGTCATCTTTTAGGAAGTTCTCTGATCTTGCTGACTTTTCTGAATCGCCAACTCTTTTGGGTCTCACATTGAATGAATATTTTGTTGCCATTCGGAGATTGTTGATTGTCATTTTGTAGATTTTTGATGTGTCTCTAGAATGTGACAACAATAAATTGTATTACTTATAGAGGATGAACATTTTGTATTAGAATATTTATATTTTGAGATCTAAAGCGTCATAAATGTGGACTAGAAAGTACAATCTAAACTATCGCATATAACTCCAATTCCTTATCAAATTCCATTCACAATCTCAACATATGACTCAATAAATCAAAACAAATTGCTACAAGCAATAAATTACATATTAATCAACTTACTTCTCAAAGTCAACTCCGTCATCATCGATTAATACTTTTGAGTTGCATCGATGATACTCGCCCCAGCTTTGGATTTCACAATAATGTACAAAAAAGCTTTTTGGTTCAGTCTCATCTTCTTTCTCCTCGTTTAGTCGATTTCCTGCATATTTATCATCGACTTCCCATGTTAAATTTACTGATCGATAATCGGGCTGTCCAAATAATGATTTAATTTCTGAAAATAATGAGATCATTAAGATGTGTAAATTAGGTTTTATTTGGATGGAGAATTAATCAAGTGAGAAAACAAAACAAAAATTGATTTTATTGCTAACTTTTATTTATTTATTAAAGCTATAAAGCAATAGAGAAATATAACTTGCTAATGCACAGAAACCCGTTAAGTATTAACTTAATAAATCAGCGTATAGAGTGCCACTGGAGCATCGCAAACTAAGCAGATCATAGACTTCTCAAACTTCATAATTTAATTAACCGTATTAGAGATCGCTTACTATAGACATTTGTTGTCTGTCCATAAATAGAAAAAAATGCTTTTCTTTCTTTCTTATTCCAACCACAAATTAGCACAGATATTAAATTACTTAAACTTTATAATGAATTGAAATGCATAAAAATGAAACTGGATACTGAAAATCTTCTTTGCTCGTGTCACGCGACAAACTCTTTTAATGCATTTCACTTATCATTCTTAAGTGAATAAACTTAATCATGTGCTTCGTCTTATTATGGTAATTAGCACTTTTATCAGCAATAAATCAAATTACTTTATAAGTCTTCTTTTTCACCTATTTAATGGTTTTACTTGTCAATTGCACGACAAGACGAGATTAGAGAATTAATTACAGTTATAATATAAAGATTTAATGAGGTTTATGAACAATTAATTTATGTTAATCTGCTTAATTGATTTATTAAGTTTTAAAATATAAAATTGCAGAAAAAAAAAATCATTTTTAAAGCCCGATTGACACGCGTTTCTTTAACGATAAATCAGTGTTGCATTCTGGCTATTTGTCTGGATCAGATAAATTCTGAGACAGAAACTTTCTTCATAAAGATCGATTCTACATGTAGAAAGAAAAAAACCATCTACATGTAGATTGCGTCTATATGTAGAATCTGTCTACATGTAGATTTAATGTAGATGTCTACGATTCTACATTCTTCTCTGATGTAGACCTGGAAAAAATGTAGAATTATAGACATCTACATCGAATCTACATGTAGACAGATTCTACATGTAGACACAATCTACACGTAGATGGTTTTTTTTCTTTCTACATGTAGAATCGATCTTTATGAAGAAAGTTTCTTAGCTAGACAAAAACTATTGAAGAATCTACATTCTTCATCTAGTGTAGACATCTACATTTGCAACACTGCGACAAAACAAAGGCGTGGAAACTCAGGATTAATCCTGAAAAATCCCAAAAATCCTTAAAAAATCCCTGAGCCAATAAACATGGAAATGTGAAATCCCTTTTAAATCCCTGATGCATTTGATGAATAACTTCGGGATTTAATATGGATTTCACATTTCCATGTTTATGGGCTCAGGAAGTTTTTAAGGATTTTTGAGATTATTCCTGAGTTCTCATGCCTTGGACACAACAGAGGCAGATAAAAGCTAGGGTTTCCCGAATTCCCGTTCCCGAGGACAAAAAATTCCCGAAATCGGGAATTCTGGAAACCCTAATATAAGCATTATAGACAATGATTTAGTCAACAATTTTTTTAAACTGATTTTAAGGCAGAATTAAATTTCAAATGGTCATAAAAGTAATTAGGGCATGGACCTTATTGGACCCTTTCGTCCTGAATTTATCTACTCAATGACATGGCTTTTAATAAAAATTGCCATTATTTATAAGCTGACCACCTGCTTGGTTTTTCAGAGGACAGTCCTCTATTTTTTTTCTTCAATTTTTAAAGATAAAATAGTTTTGTTTTGCTGTAATTCGTCCAGAAAATTACTAAAATTGGTAGTCAGTCGGATGTTCTCTAATTACTTTCTGGTCCTCTTTATATTGAAAAAATATCTGGTCATCCTATTTATTTATGACTACTCTACATCATCAGATAACTGCACATTCATGAAAACTGCATTTTTGAATTTTAAAAGAATATGCTCTGCTTGATACTTTTTCTTATTGTGATCTTTTTTTTTATTTAAAAAAGTATATAGAACAAGTTGTATAAATTCAGAAATACCGTTTCTTAATCCATCGTTGATAATATACACATATTAAGAAATTATTGAACAAAATTGCAAAAGACAATTTGAGAAGAGAAAAAGACAACAAAATAAAAATCATCACAAAGAACGGTTCTTCTAGCCGAATGTGTGAATCTGAAAGGAAAGAAATGTGGAAACAAAGAAAATGAAAATTGTGTCAAAAATCTTTTTTTTTTGCGCGATTCATTTACAACATGCTGAGTTATGAGATGCGGTGCTGTGAAGAGAGACAATGCAGCATGGAATAAGAAGTTAATAGAGTTGTAAACAGCATTAAGACAAACAAATTTAATTAGATAATCAGCATTGAGATGTGAAATGAATGAGAAGTAGACGATGAAGTCCACAGCTGTTCTTCTTCGTCCACATCACTTCTAACTCAATCATACTTTTTGAGCATTATTGCTTCTCACCAATTCACATCTTAATTTTCTCAATTTTTATACGGCAAGAATCGTAATTAATTTATTGAAGATCAGCCATTGTTTGGTACATTTCACGTGCCATTTGACACAGATATTTGGGAACGGATGGAAGTCGCCGCCTTTTTTGGTCACGATTTAATAATTTTATTTCTTAGTTTTGTTTAAATTGAACGTGAGATTTGTTTTTGGCGGGAAAAAGTTTATGGAAGTGACACAGAAATTAAATTTTGGAATTGCCAATATTTTTCCTCAAGTCAGACATGGATTTATAGCCTAGAATCCCACATTGTCATGCAGAATTGTCACACAAAAAATCCATAAAACCTCAAAAATCAAGTAAAAGTGAGAACATCTCAGAAACTAGGTCTTCATGTATCTTCTCAATTGAATAAAATTCATCTCGTGCTCGCAATCATTTAGAAATTGGAGATGCAAACAGAGAATAAATGTAATTAGCATCGTTTTCATTCATCCAGACTGTGAAGACATAAACCAAATCGAGTTGACAATTGAAAAGCTTCTCACATTTGAAATCGCAGTAATAATCACATTAATCCACTTTTGTGTTAAGTCTTGCGTTCCACAAATTAATTCTTCCTGCTTTTTAATTACTAATTTCTAATGAGGAATCATAAAAGTCACAGCAAGAAGTTTGATAAGTTGTAGAAAATAAGAAGAAAGTTGTAATAATGTCGAGAATCAAATTTGCGATTGGTTTTTTTTTGTGGCATAAAAATTTAATTCTTAAGATTAGTGCTGCTTTCGCTTTCATCTGCTTCGTGTGGCCTTGTGGCTTCATTTCAAATGAAAATTAATTGATGTCTGTGAGCAATTCTTGTGGCTTTGAAATTATTGAGGCAGTAATTTTGGTGATGAATCTTTGAGAAATTGAGCTTCTGGGTATTAATTTAAATAATTTCACTTGTGAACCTAAAGACAATAGCTAATTCTACCTTAATCTAAGTAAATCATCAACTTTTACTATTCAAAGTCACACAAGTGCGAACACAAATCCAGTAAATCCTGAGAGTTTACACCTATCTATCAAGCAGCATCTAATCCGTGGGATGATCTTGACTACATTTGCAATTTAAATGTGGAACGACTTCAGAGACTTCATCAATAATTATTTCCAGATTAAAAGAACATGACGCGATCATGATATGCATGTATAGTAAGCGAGACTTGTAAGCAGAAGAAATTTATTTACTTTATTTTAATGCTTGAAACTAATTCCTGCATGTTAAAGCCGCGGTGGATTGTTTTATTAAAGATTTGTGCCATTCTGACTGATTATGTGTCATTTCGCTTTCATGTCTTTATCTTGTGCTTCAATGATTTGCATGCAATTTTTCACTTCTATGTCTTTTCAGCCTGCCTGGCTTATTGTAAATTTTATTTTATTTCTTCAATCATTTTCCTTCCATTCGTTCCTCATTTCATGTCTTATTTCACATGATGACATTTCCATAATTACATTTTGCTTATTTATAAGACATAGACACAGCATAGACAATGACAATGACATTAATTAAATTATTATCTATTCTTCATGTCCCATTTTCTGCGGCTCAATTCCATTTGATGTGTTTTTGTGTCATTCTCAGTTCCAATTCCTCAAAAAAGTTCTGATGTTTGCATAATAGAAACTCATTAAAGGTATTTATTTACAGCATAAAGTGTGTACAGACAATGGAGAGATGATGATGAGACAGTGATGATAAATAAACATTTATGAATATGAAGCATGAAATGAGCGCAGCGATAAATCAAAAGTCATGCAAACAAATTGTTTAATTAACTTTATTCACTTGCTCCATAGCTGGAAAATGTTAATCCACTGATCTTCTTGACTTTTTGGATCTATATGGAACTGAATGGATGAAGATGTGCAGTTAGCGGTAAATCATCTTCTTCTTGGTCGTCATCATCGCGAGATTTGCATAGTAAAATTTGTAGCACATAAGTCAAAGCATATCGGCGATGATCAATGACTTTATATGCAGCATGAATAAATTAATAGTGTCTGTGGACATATTCATTAATTAATTAATCAATGCTTGAATGTTACGGGCATCAGCCTTTGTGCTGTTGCATATTTATAGAAATTAATAGCTTCAGCAGCAATTCCAGTAGTCACAACTTACTTTCATATCAATAATAATATCGATAAAATTAAAAATGGAAAGTTGTGGCTTGCCGCATCATCTTCCAGTTCTTATGTTGCTGCTGTTTATTTCTAGAGCAAATTCGTGCATGGTTGTGATCTTTCATGCAACTGCAGAGCAACACTGCATAACATTATAATTAGCACTTTCTAGTTTCCTCTTTTGCATCTCTTCTGTCAAGCTTCTGAACTTTTTTTGATGCACTTCTGCTGTGTATGGCGTGGGATTCTGTGGCTTTTACATTGGCAGGTTCTTGATTAAATAAAGCGATTGACATGAAAGCTTTTAGAATCTCAACAACAATAACCTGCCTAAAAGCCAAAACATATGCTGAGAACAGCAGCAATAGAACGAACAACTCAGTCTTAACAATGATCAGCAC